AAGCAGCTGGTACTGGCCTGTCCCACCATTTAATTGGTGAGCTGTACTTACGTTGTGCATTTATGTATTTCCCCGGCTGAGCTTAGCAGCATAGTTTTTGCTTGTCTTCAAATTTTCCCTAGATCCCTTGTCGCACCAAAGCAAGCATTGTGTTGACAACGTTATGATAACACCGAACTGTGTATTGGCTAGCGTCTGCTAACCATATTTCGTTGATGTCTGGCTAGTCTTTCAATTGACCTGCTCTTCATTGGCAATTCAATACAATTTACCTGTCAGTCCATTTTCGCGGGTGGCGCCAAAGTATAGTACTGCGTCATTAATTAATGACGCATACTGTGCACCCACTGGCCACCTTGGAGGCGGTCCGCACCTCACTAACGAGCTCGACCGTCTGGTGGTCTCTTCTAACGTTCCACATGAGGGAAACTTCCGAAAGCGTTGTGTGGTCGAGCAGGTTGTGAAGACTTACCTCCGGTCTCCTTGTATATGCGCGTCGCAGAGAAACTGCGCCTCCCCTTGTGTCCGGCAAAGCTGAGCGGATCCATAAAACTTTCGATCATAACAGAAAACATCACTTCTCGGGCGAAATTTCCGATACGCTTGCCGCAGACTTAGTTTTGCAATGAACCTGAAGAAGGATGTCTACAGGAAAACGCACTATTATCACGTATTGGCGGACCTTCGCTTCTTCACGAGAAGTGTTGAATCGAACAAAGTCCGCCACGAGATTGGCGGGAAAAGAAATGGGGTTGCCAATTTCGAATGTCTGGGTAGCGGCAGGGGAAGTCAGTTTACGGTTTACGATCTCATAAGCACTTTGAACGAGCCTCTGTCGCTTGTCTGTTGAAGATAAGAAGCGTTTGCGAACCTACCAAATGTGCTTCGACATCCTCATCATGTCGTCTGAAGTGGTGTAGGCCGCGACAGCGGTCGTAGTGGCGCAACTATGAAGACGCGGTCGTTGTGCATTGGAGGGAACCTGCATTCAGTGGTCCCTTATTGTTACCTCGATACTGGATTCGTTAAGACGCCGGGATTGGCATAGTAGGGTGTATTCGCAACACCGGCCACTCTTTTCCCCAGACGTCCCTCGACAAATTTTCGCTAAATCGACGAACTACTTGTTGCAGAGGTCTGTTTGGTTTCAACAAGGACTTCTTCATTCGACCCAGATAACTGTCAACTGGGAATAAAGAGATGTCCATTGGCATTTATTTTGGCAATGTTATCGGGGTGTGCATAACACTGTGGACATTATAACCAGTTGGTGGACATTTTACAAACGTAGAAATAAGCTATGGAGGTGTTAAGGCAGAGTACGACACGCTAACTTAACAGCTCGACAGTCGTGACTGACGATGTCCTTCGTATGCTCCACAGTATAGAGCAGGGACGGTGACTTATGCGTGAATTCGATTATGGTGATAGTAGGCTTGCACTGCATCTATCGTATTCCCTCCCTCCCTCCTCCTCCTCCTCTTCCTCCTCCTCCTCCTAGACCCGGTGTCATGACAGAGTCAAGAAGACCGGAGGCGAGAGAGGGCGCATATAGCTGACAGGGCGAAAATCTTCACCTAGACCTGCCGCCACACACCCTGGTCCACAACGTACACTTACCAGGATTCTAAACAAGAAAAATTGGGGCCGTTCGGATCCAAACTGGCGCGGCATTGGCCTGCGCCTGGGTCTGCCGTCACACCCCCGATGTTGTCATTTGTCATGGGTGCGCATTCCCAATAACGCCTGCGGGACCCCAATCTAGTCCACTTGTTAGTCCAGCGCATCCGCCCCGTGGTCTGTTTTAGAGGCGCTAAATGCCGAATGACAACAACATTTTGAAAAAGAACAATCACAAAGACTTTTATAAGACGTTTAGAAAGCACTGCGCTGGGTTAAAAAATCATTATATAAAAAAACATCCCTAGCTCTTGCGGTTCTCGCCTCTCAGATTCCTCTACGTCTGTCGATAGTTGCGTGAATTCGTGCAGAATTCAGCCATCCATGGATAGTGGTCAGTTCGTAACGGTATCAATGCCAACGGGACAACAAATGATTCATATCCCAGAGCTACCGATCCACAGAATAAGCGTTATTTTTGGTACTCCTTTGTAAACCAAGTCCTTTGAAGAAATCACAGTCGACAAGCGTACATTTTTAGTTGTTCATCGGGCCAGTACAGTAATATATGTTCCAACAGACCAGCGAACGTTGATTGCGGGTGTTAAGTCACCTTCAAGCCAGGGGGAGGGATTTATCTAGTTCTGTCAGAAGAGCAGGGGGAGTATGCTAGTGTGCTTTGTTCGTGTTACATCGTAACGTGGCGTGGTAGGGTGCGGGTAAGGACGTTGGGCCCAACTTCGGCCAGGGCAGCGGGGGGTTTGAACGAACACCTGTGGGCATAAGGCTAGGTTGCATATCCATATGGCCACCGCCTGTGCCGCGGTAAACATTCGCTGGTGGAGTAATTCGGTGCCTCAAGGACACGTGTTGGTGATTCGAAGTGTTTAGTTGTCGTCTACGCGGTGACGGCTGTCAACCAGGCGAGCCATAGTCGCACTAGAGGTGGACTTTTCCATGCCTCGACGTAGCCATGCAGATTGGTGTTTTTACATACGTTTGGATTGGAGCCCAGTTTTTCGACTAACATGCCACGAGTCTGATACTGCACGCCACGAATGGCGAAACTCCGTGAACATGAAGCCCACAGGCTCCCTTTGGCCTTCATCTGCCCCAATATACACGATTTTCCAACACTTACTCCTCGCGAATGACGAACCTTTGTGTGAATTAACACCTTTAATATGTATAAGGAACGCCTGTGCTAACTCATCACAGATAATAGCATGAACTATTTCGTAATTCTCATGCCAAATCCATGATGTACATTCCATTTCCTATAACCTCGCCAATCACACTGTCGCTATCACCACCATCCGTCCTGTCCCAACCCCTGCATCGATCGTAGCGGCCAGCATTACCACCACTACGTCTTCATACACTCCCTCCAATGATGGGACGACGTCTAGTGCTCTATCACCTTCTACCATCACCAACACTCCCAACTTCAGCGATGTGTACTAGGTTCATAACTGTCCTCATCGCGATCGAAATTTCATCTCACACACCGGCCTGGTTGGTCACTTGCGAATCCATGGCTCAGTGACTGGCCAACCAGTGCCTGGAGCACCAATCTACACTCACCGCACCCCCTCTTAACTGCCCCCACTGCCCCCGTACGCCCGCTCACCGCATGGACTTATTAGGTCATATGCGAATTCACGAAAACCGGCGGTAGACAACCGCCGGCTACATCACACATGTCCCGCCAGCACTCTCATTACACAATAACACCATCCATCGCAAGCACTCGATTGCCATCCCCCACTCAAGGGAGAAGTGTACTATCGACTTTTTCTCCACGTGACTCCTCTGCTGCATGTGTGGTCTGAGTCTGAGACGTACGATGCGCTAAACACCGTGGCTTGGAAGGTTGCCGACTGACGCCTCAACTCAGTCCACGTAGTCTGTCCAGGTGTGTGTGGACTGGTGGGCTGAAAGCAAGGCTGTCACGGTAACTTCTTAAGGTGACCAGCGGCACTCTCACGCATATGAGGAGTGCATGTGCTTTATGGGTAGTGCCTCTCAGTCGACGACTTGCTGGTTACCCAACCTTTGATGGGTGATGGCCCAGGCAAATGTAGGGCCATGTGTCACTCTTCTGGGCCTCGAGATTTACGAGCGTCTGCTATGTCGTGATCAGAAAACAGTGACCCTCGTAGTCTGGTGTGCGCTGGCAGTTCTCTGGTCTCTGGTTCTTTGCCGGTATATACGCATACGCTCCCACTGGGTATACAGGTCGTGAGCATGGTTGTCCAGTCACCCTCTTCTTTCGGACCAATTGTGGTGCTGTTGTTGTTTAAAATCCTGGTGAAGTGTTTGTTGGGGGCCAGGGGGTGTGGCGGCACGCCTAGGTGCGGGTCCGGCCGTGCCAGCCACCTGCGCCCTCTCTCGCCCCGGTCTTTTTGAGTGTGTCTTGACACCGGGCCCAGGTGTGGAGGAGGGAGTGCGGTAGATGCTGCGCAAGTCTACCCACACTATAAATTAATTCACGCACAAATCATCGTGCCTGCTTCGCTTTGCTGTGTAGTACACGGTGACCATCATCGGGCACAGCGGTCGAACTGTTGCAATACAATGGAAATATGAGAGTGTCGGCCTGCTGACCTAGACCTCGCTGGTCCCGACTTATGACAGGCACATGATCGACTTTCGGCAAAACCGCCCTTTTAAACTGGCCTAACAGCGGTAAAAGGTGGAACTTGTCTGACATCAAGACTGTTCTCACTCATACAGTATTTTACTCAAGACGACGTGGTTTCAGTGGAGAGGATCCAAACCCAAGGCCGATACGGCTTGCAGTGCCGTTTGCCATTCAAAATGTACATATTTGTAGAATAGTGCTAGATTGCACTGAAGTATGAGTCAGGCGAAATCGCGTGAAAGTAATTGACGATCTTTGGCTATTTTTCGCCTGGTTAATGTCAGCCAATATCTAAGAAACTTCATCTGACTGGCTATCCTATAGTAGAAGCTAGGATTTGGCGACATACTCGGAGCCTATTTATTGCATGCCGCTACGTTCAAGGACTTTGCATTCGTTTCAGACTTAGAAGGCACATCTTGGACTTGTTTAATTCCGCACACAAATTTGTGGTTCTGCGAACTGTCTTTTTCTGCGCCACTTGTTTCACCCATTAATTAATAAACTGAAGCAATGCATACGGTAGGATTTATTTATAGGGTAATTTAGTGGTCTGTTTAGTTCTCAGCAAATCCTCAAAACATTTATATAAATTCGGTCCTGTCTTAGAACGATACTACCTTAGCTACCGGTCCATTGACCGTCTAAGGATACTGCCCTTGGTAGCTCGACTTTCTCCGTGTTTTCTTGCATTATTTCCTGCCTTCCCTTTCCTAGGTAGGCAAATGACAAAGCCATGCCACTTCAAGTCATTCCAAAGATCTGCTCTGTACTCATAGTCGGCCTCTCCGCACTTTGCGCCGTTGCTCCCATTTCCCATACACCTACTGTATACTTGGAACCTGAGGAAGTAAAGACCATCGCCCTTACTCCCATCCATCCTTATATAGTGTGTCTTCATGAACAGAATTGGCTAGTGTGGATCCACCGTTCTTTTCAAACCCACTTCTTTGTAATTAACTCGACAGCTAACTTCTTCTCTGTTCGTGTCTATTACGGGCTTAATGAGGATGATCTTCGCAGTCGAGCACCATGGTTACGTTTTCCCGAGGAATCGCCGACTTCCGATCTCTCTACGTTCACTGTATTTACCAGCGACCTTGGTCCTCCTGAGTACGTCGAAACTCATTCCAACGGTCGCATTCCACTAACTGGAGCATATTCGCGTTGTGTTGCCCTGTTGCCTTTGCGGAGTCAAGGTCAGCACCACTCCGTTTTCGAAATTTCCTTCACTTCTGACTTGGATTTTGGACGCGTCCTCCGACTCCTTCTTGGTCTCGTAATATACTTTTGTGCGCCATGCCTGTGCGGAAATATCCTCTTCTACTACTGCTCCGGTGTCAGCATGTCAATTCTTGCAAGCTTCCTCATCCTGCTCTTTCTGGTCTTCCGACTGCTGCCGAAGCGGTCGAGCCTCGTGCTTCAGGGTCTGGTTGTGTTTGGCGGTGGTGCCATGAGCATGCTGCTATTCTGCTTGGGTCATCTGCGCAATGTAGTTGTCAATTTTATTTCATCCAACTTGTCCCTCTTTGTTGCCTACGCGCTAATTGTAGCATTGTTCAGCACTGCCATCTTGTACTGGTTTAGTCTACCAGAGACCCTTTTGGAGCGCTTCCCTCGCACTCAAAGCCTCCTTAACCTTTCTCTGCGTGCTCTTGGCGTTGCGCTCATAACCTCTGCTCCCCAGCTGCCAAGCGAGTCCCACCGTTTACGTCAGCTGCTGCACGAGGGCAACCGCTGGGTGGAGGAAAAGTTTAGCGTGGATTGTGATAAGCTGATCTCTCCCTTTATGCCGCCCTCCTATATTGCAACGCGTTTGCTGTTTGCAATCTTTGTTGCCTTCGTTTTGCATGCGGTAATCTACTTCTTCCGGTCCTCTGACACAACGATTGGACGAAGGGATTTCGCTAGTGGTCGGCGTCGCCGACAAAGATGGCGAGGGGATAACATTTTGCCGCCGGTACCCTGTGCGGCCTCTTCTCCGGCGTCCCCCGGCTGGCATCCTGCCTATACACCAGTAAGTTACTACAACGACGAATTCGGGGAGGAGGCGGAGGAAGGAGAATACAAATTACGGCTAAACGGATCACATACCTCCTGGAAGTCGCCCCATATCTATATGCCAACGCCATTACGACAACAGTACTATCCCGTGGATTTTGGCGGCCAGAGAATGATGTCACCCATTTTGCCTTCTAAGTCACCCTACACCGGATATCCGAGTGCACGCAACAAACATTCCTATTACCGGTCTAGGTCGTCGCCTAGAGCGGCAGCATGTGCGGAACTTCTAACAGATGACGAAGGAGATTAACGGATACCCAACCATCCATACGATTGCTGATCCACCCTTTTCAGTACTCTTTCCGTGTTCGCTGCTGTTTACGATAAGTGTTAAGGGCATTCCTATAAGATGCATTTTTAACCCCGCTGATGTTTCCCTCAGACTTCACCTGACCAGAGGTCTTAATAGTTCGGTTTGGCTAACATCAGAGTAATATTATTGATTGACACAAGGGAGACTGGAATAGCCGTTTCTGGTTCTGGATTTGTCGACCAGCAGTATTCAGATTCCAAACCCAACAAACCCGGGATTTTAGTCGGGACTGTGCTAGCCACTGAGTTACTGAGCTCGCGTCCTGTTTACTGTAGTCGGGAATGCTCTGTCACTTGGGAGTGGCGTTCACCGAGCTATCATTTGTTGTAGGACTGAATATGGGCTTTCCGTTTTGCCATGAAATTTTTGTTGTGGAGCCTGTAATGGGCATTTCCTAGCCCTCACATTTCCAGCCTCAAACTCCGAAAAAGGAGCAGACGCTGGGTAGAAACAATCGCCTGACTTGTGCCGGACTCTTTTTGATTGGCTGGCGGAGTTAGCACGTAAGCGCTGTCCGTCACTCTGGGGGTGGTTTTGGGCCCTTAGACATCGTGGTGGTCAGTGTAGCACGCCTGGCCAGGTCAGTCTGGAATAACTTGGCTGCCTGCGTGCCCAAGGTCGGACGGTTATCCCAAATGCTGTATTCGCTTTACTCTAGAGCGTCAGCTTATGTAGGACTTCGATTTTACGGACAGGTTGGAAACCTAGTAATTCCTTGATTTGGGTGTAATTATGCTTAGAGTAGGTATTCTAACACATCCTTATCCAATAGTCCAAGGCTGGTGCTCATTTTGACCCAAATAGAGTTTTCAAACAAAACGTATGCTGTCAGATGATCTTTTGCTCAAAATGAGCCAGAATATTTTATTGCACGTCCTAAAATTTTGGTGACTAATATCGAGTCACCATACAAGACAAGGCGGTGAACTGCAGAAGGAGAAGACGTCTCCTACGGTTCGATACCGTCAAACAGGTTTATGGCTCGCTCAGCGTTCAGTTCCAAGGTGAGCTTACTTCAAGCAAAACTGTGCTTTTTGGGGCAGGTAACGTCCCCTCAAGGAAATTCCCGAACAGGACGCCCTCGTTGGTTTGGTCAATTTGGAGCGAAGAAATTCGCCCTGGCTGGATGTTCGGTGTTGGAGTATTTTAGCCATGAGCGGGCCAATTGCATAGTTGAAGAAAATTGGTGACAGGGCATCCTTATTGAACATCAGAGCCTGCATCGGTGTACGTGCTCTCTTCCATATAACTAGGACTTAATTGCGGGTATTAACATATCTTGGTGAGTTAATGAGTTATCAGAGCGCACCATCTGCCTTCATCCGCCTTTGTGATGGAACCTCGGCCGACCGAGTCGAGCGCTGACTTAAAACCAAAGTGAAACAGCAAATTGTCTTGTACTGGGGACGGCATATTTATTAGAAAATTCGGCATGTGATCGACTTGGCCTCAACCATGGATAAAGCCACCACAGTCCTCCTTGGCCTTACATCCTTAAAAGATCGCGGGCGGTTTATGTGGCTACTTCCCGAAAATCTTCGAGTAAACTGGGGGATCTGTATTTAAGGTATCCTCTTCACAAAGCTAGAGCGCCACTGCTCTGTTACCGTACGAAATTCCAGCCACAAAATTATTATGCCATGACAGATCATACAGGCTTCGGTTGGCAGTTGATTAACACCGGACCTGATGTTCCCAAGACAATTGAATTTTTCTAGCTCAGTTGTGAGCATCATTGTAACTGTGGTAAAGGCCTCATTGGGCGCATCCAAAGATAATGGGGATTTAATTGTTTAAAACACTCTTCCTGTGCGACCAAGGTAAACTACACGAAAGTCTATTCAGCGTCCTTTTGTCTTTATCCACAAGGGACGTGATGGCATAGAGGTGAAAATAGAGCCCGCAAACAATATGTGGTAGACGGGTCCCAATTTCGTGGGTGTTATTCCCGTCTTCTGGTGTATCCATCAGAATTACTAAAAACCACAATGACAGAATTGGTAGACGGTGCCAGATCGTGACACATATCACGCCGGCCGACTGCCAGTGGTGATAGTTTCGCGGCCTCCGTTTGCATGTCCAGTCCGTCACAGGTGTCTTCGAGTTGCCTGTACGTTATCTTGCACAACACAGTTAATCTACCAAATCTGCCTTCTTGACTTATGATTTGGGAATTTCGCGAATGCAGTACTATCCAACACACGAACAACCAAGATTAGGTTTTGAGCAAGCGCTGACAGGCAGCGTCAACGAATTAATGTCCATTTAACTGGCGGGAGCACGACTCCCTGGTGTACAAACGCGCCGTTCCCCCAACCAACATGCAGCTGACTTCGTTTGAGCGTCCCTCTTGTAAGAGGTTGTCGCACACTTTTAAGTGCCACTAGTTTCGGGCTCACAGAAATGGCAAAAACAACGCGCCTAGGTAGTAGTTTGAGTGCGGATGGCGATTAATGCTCACATCTCGGGGACCAGTTCAACAGAAGGCATTTTATAAGCTCAGGACACTGGTCAATAAAGCCCTTTTCCCAGCGACCGTGTCTCCTTCTTCAAGCCTGCTTCCTGGGACTCGTCTCTTCGCTCCTCTTGACACTGGAACTTATCTTTTATTCTTCCGCCTCAGTCTGTCTCAGCACCTCTTTCCCGTTTATTTGAATGCTCGGGAAGACCCACATGCAGACACCGTGTTTGCCGTTTTGGGGAGGAGGGGGCTATCAAAAGTTTTACCAGCTACGCCAGCCACATCGGCTTGGATCTAACTGAGTGGGATTGCCCTAGAGGCCACATTCAGAAAATTACTTTACAGCCTGACTTCGGCCCAACAATCGGCCACTCCACACAAACGCACCCGGGGCTGACTGCGAGGTTGACTTATTTCTTTAGTTGACAGCCTTCCAAGCCACGGCGCCTAGTGCACTGTGATAGATCCCAGCGCATCAGATTGTTTCTAGTAAGCAATGTGCGTTGAGACCGTCGACCACCGTCTTCCCGCTCCCAGGAATCAGTCGATTTTCCCGGCCGGTTAACCCACTGCTGCTGAGATTGTGCGCAGTGGCTGACAGAGTTAAGAGCAGCCCGTCTTCGCTTGTCGCACACACGACCTGACCCCACACAACACACTAAGGATGCACACAAGGGGGATGAACTGATCTGATCTCGCCTCTGTAATAGAGTAGCAGAGGAGCCACATGGAGAGGAAGCCAACGAGACGATTTCCACTTCTGTAAAAGGCACCGATTCTGTGCTCCTGACGGGTGATAATTGACGTGCTCGTATGTGGTATATGTGCTAGTAAGGAGATGTGCAATGGTGTGATTAAGTCTACGGTGATTTATCGCAGATTCTCCCCGGGGCGCATGTGACCGCGTAGGCCCATGCGATGACTGAATGTGTGATTGGAACGCAGAAAGTTGAGGCGATTGCGACGGATGAACGTTGGTGCTGTAGACACTGGCTCACTAGTCTTTTTGCAAGCGACTTACCAGATCAATG